TCATCTGTGCTGTGGTACAGTGGCAGCGAGAAGGAGGGGTTTAAGGTGTAATTGTTTCTACTCTTCCCCTCGCAGCGCTGAATGCCTTTTTACCCTTTATTATATCATTGGCTTTTGCTTCAGTTCATAGCGCTTCGCCACATCTTATCGTTCAATATTTGCTATTTTTTTCTTTTTCTTTTTTTTTTTTTTTTTTTTTTTTTTTTTCAGTTCAAGATTTCTTACTGTGCCTTTGCCAGAGACATTCCTAAGGAGATGGAAACTCTCTGAATGTGGAATTTTCGCATGAGTGCAAAATAATAAAAAGCATGTGTGTATTAAAAAGGGATCAACTTAATGGGAAATGAGCATTGGGTTACATTAATATTCTATTACAGTAAAAATCATATTTAATAAATTTTCTCCAGATTTTTCAGAATCTTACTGTATTTTTCTAAGTCGTATGCCAATCCAAAGAAACAGTGTATATGATACATTTGATTTATGTTAAGTAAATAACCTGCACAGCCCATTTTTCGGTTTAAAAAAAAATATTAAGTGTAGAAACACACACCAGACTGAAATGTGTGCTTAGTTTCCATCTGCTAGGTGAAATAGTGTTGGTCTTGTGCAGCAGAAAGCCTTTATAAACAGTATTCTATTTTATTGATGCTATATGTGGATTTTTATGTTATGTGGCAAGAGCAGGAGAATGAAAACATTGTAATTTATCCTAAACCATAAAATTATACTAGTACTAAAGTAATTACTTCACATATTAAAATACAGTTTCCTTTACTTTCTTTTGTCATCACATAAAATCAGGCGTTGGGCGCTGCAGCGTGAAGGGGCCGGAGCTTTTTCTTGCCTTCACAAAGGATTGACACATCCTCGATCGTACACTATATCACCCGACCCTTGTTGTTCCGTGACCCTAATTAATATTATACTCAGTGACATTTATGTATCAGAGCAATAAGCTAAACAGGAAACAATTTATGTCACCTAAAGCTTTTTAACAAATCGATGCAACTATTTGTAATTGCTTGTTTCACAAGATTAAAAGTACTCAGCCTTGATCTTCGCCCACAGTTTTGTGGCCAACATGACCTGTGCTTCCGTTGTAAAATAGGAGTGTTGGTGATCAGCACCTATTTCCATCAAGTAATCCATATTGCTAATATTTCTGGAATTTTAATGTAGTTACAATTTATAGCCGATCAAATGTGGTTACCTAAATTGCTGTTGCTAGTAGACAGTTTAACTGTCTTTATTAATTACAGTATAATTTAATGTTTGAGTACAGGCACTTGTGTTGGTCATTTTTACAGCCAAAGCAGTTATGTGCCTTATGACGAACCATTTTAGCATTTTCAATGGAAATTTGCTAATATGATGAGTGATAAAAATGTCAAACTCTGGTAAATAATGGTTATTGCTTTGGCTGGAATTAATCCTTGAAAGGACGGTTACCTTCAAATTAACATTATAACTTGGAGGAAAAAAAATATGTTTTTCAGGCTTCTGAGATGCATAAAAAATGGCCACGGAACTGCTCTAAATAAATACATACAAAACCCCACAAAGTGGGGTTTTTTTCATAGACAGAGAAATTTCCTGTGGAATAAAAAGGAAGGAGGGGCTAATTTTTGTTAACTATGCCAAGGTGATGTTGTTTACCATTTCTAGCTCACCTGCTTTGAAGATACCTAATGAAGCTAAAAAAATGGGGCAAAAAAGAAGGACACTTCTAAGCCTCAGCCCTGGGGGTTCGGGGCAAAAAATGGGTGCAGACAGCACAGAGGCTGTGAACATGCATGATGGCCATGTCCCACCATGTTGGTCATGGCCACTGGGGGAGATGGTGGTTTGTTGCCACCATCATGGCACCGTGAGGATGAAGACAGTTTCTATGTGACGGAATTAGCCACCGCTGCAACTAACATGAAAGATAGCCCTGATTAACACACCATTAAATGAACGTTTAACATCATCATTGAAGATGAAGCCTGATTAATAGGTCAAGAAGGGCTAATTACACTTTGTTGTGAGGAAGGGTGTGTGTGTGTCTGCATGGGAGCGAGAGGCACGAGGAATTGCTAGTCCTTTAAATTAGGTCAATAATGTGAAATTTGTCACACTCTGTGATGGTGGCCCAAGTTAAATGTCACCATTCAGATCATCTGTGGAGAGCAGCTGGGTGTGCACGGTGTCTGGTGGCTGCCATGTCCTCCTGGGCCTCCGGCTCCTGTGCTGGGACCCCCTTATCTTCTGCTACTCTTCTCTCCAGTACAGGAGAAATCCAGAAGAACTAAGCACTGGCTCTGGTTTTCTTTGGAAGCCACTCAGAGACGCATTGCCTCACCACCGACCATAAAAGTGCTTTTCAGCTGTGGTGGAAAACAGCGTTTCTGACTGGAAAAGGTATTTCCCAGCCGGCTGCTGCCGGTGAAGTAGGAAGGCATTTTGTGATGTTCCATGATATGGCTGCCAGGGAGGGGAAATGGGGTTTTTAACACAAAGATGATACAAAACAATGCTTTCAACACCCAGCAAAGAGCCAGGCGCTCATCCGCTGGTAGGGTGGCATTAACTCAATGGGAGGGGAAGGGCCTGATCTTACTCCTGGGCCTCAGCTCGGTGACAGTTCCTCAGCTCAAGATGCTTTTGGCACCTTCCCCCTGCAGCTCTCCTTCAATCCCGAGGCCACAGAAAGTCAGCAGATGATAAACAACATGGTGGGGTCTCTCCCACCTCATGTGTGCAATGGGCACACCAGCACTGAGACGCCTGGGAAGGTGAATATACCCAAGTCATCTCTGATGGCGTCATAGCTCATGCCCTGCATGGATCCCCTCCTGGTGACAATACAGGGACATATTGTCCTCATGCAGAGGAGCCAAGAGCCCTGCTGAGATTCACTCCGGGATCTATTCCTCCGCCTGGAACTGACGCTCTCACCCACGTTTTAGAGACACAGAGCACTCCTGACAAAACATATACCAAGTTCTGGCTTAACACCCTCTGCCTGCAGCTTAAGAATATTTTAACACCAAAAGCGGGACCTCCCCAGCTCACTAAAACCCCACTAGTGATAAAATACATGACCCAAACCAAATTTTATTCTCTATATTTTGATTATAAAAAATCTACCAGTCGATACCATTTTGAGCCACATTATAATGAGTGTGCAAAGATCCACACCACCCCCCCCAAAAAAAAGTAGTTATCTGGTATAATTTTATGATAGAATATTTTTATAAAATCATTTGTACTAATTTAAGCATTTATCATTATATGCAAAAAGATTTCTTGATGAGAATATTATAGACGGTGCATGTTTTTGACATTAGCATTTTATTTGGATGACTAATCTTGCAGATGTGAAATTTTAATGAATTATTCATGAAAAATCTCTCCTCTGAAATTTCAGTTTGCTGCTAATGCTAGTTATTAAACATTTTATTTTTCTTTATAAAACTTGATGAAGAAAATAAATGCATGCTTACTCGAAAGAACAGAAGGTGGGTTTTTCCTTTAAAGTTTGTCTCAGGTGACAGCGTGACTTGGGACTTTGTTCCTCGTGGGTCTGTGGATCAAGTGGCTGATCCTGCAAACCCCCTTTTGGGTACATACAACACGCCTTGACCCCTTCCCACTGGAACCCATGAGGACACCACGCTTGGAAGGGTTTGCACCATGAGGTCCCAGAACCCCTTCTTCCATCCTTTGAAGTCCAAGGAGAAAGCAAACACCCTCAACTGCCCGTGACCCTAACGGTCAAACGCCGATGGACCTTCTTGGAAAAGCGGATGAATTCTTTGAGTGACAGCATCTTCCTCGCTTCCAGCAGCAAAAAACAGCCCTGTCCAGACCGGCTGTGAAACCGTCGCTAAAATATCTTGCCATTTGATGTGGTTGGGGGAGACCTGAGGAGAGCGATGAGATTGTCCATGAACGTGCTGGGACGCGGGTGAGATGCTCCGTGGACGAGCGCCGGGCCCCAGGGGATGTGACATGGGGGTCATTGTTGGGGGAAGGGGGGAAGCAAAACAAAAACTTAGGACATGGCAACTTGCATTACCAGTGTGAACAACCAGCATTTTTATTGCATTTGAGAATGCTATAATGTCAGTAATTAGTACTGACTACACAACATTTTTTATTGTCTGTATCAACAGACATGGAATGATGGAATTACAGTTGATGTAAGGAATGAGTTTCTTTTATGCCTTATCAAAAAAAAAAAAAAAATTAAAAAAAAAATCTTGTTACTGGCAGCACATACACACGAAGCACCATGCTAACAGTCTGGACTGTACCATTTTCATCAAGGCTTATGGGTAGAAGATACTCTTGTTACCTGTTCTGGGCCCATTAAAACGCAGTCATTAACTGCAAATTCACCTCGCAAGACTAGAATACTAAATGACTTCTGAAACATCTAAAAACTCACTCTGAGTTCATTAACCAAAGGTACCAAAGGATTTCAAAAGAGTTTAAACACTTTTTTTTTTTTTTTTTTTTTCCCTTGTAAAAGAAGAGTAGCAAGGCTAAAAAACAGATGGTAGATGCCTTTTTCTTTAAGGGAAGTCAAGCTAAGAAGGTGTTCTTGGTCTCTATTTCCTTGGAATCATTAAATGCACTGGTCATTTTGTTAAGGTTTTTTTTTTTTTTTTTTTTTCCCATGCTATAATGGACGTGAGATTAACAGTGATCTGAAAACTACAATAGTTCAAAATTATTTTAAAAAAATTTATATATATATATATTTATGTATGTATATATATAAAATATCTAATGATCTTCAATATCTGTAGAACCAGAATCGCTGCCCCGGTCTCTTCCCAAAGCAGGAGCTCCAGGAGAGGGAGGTGCAGGACCTGCAGCGGGACTCTTGCGAGTGAGAATCAGAAAAAGGTAATTATTTTTTTTGTGGTCTCTTGTTTCTACATAAGCCTTGATTTTTCATTTCACTTCTAGTTGAATGCAGAAACCTAACAGGTTTTACATTTACAAACTTTTTTTTTTTTTTTTTTTTTTTTTTTGTTTTGTTTGTGTGTGGACAAGGAAGGCTTTGACTCTCATTCCTGACAGCGATTTACCTGATACATGGTACTACTTTCATAATGTACGCTTTTCTTTGAGAAAAAAAACATGTAACAAATTGTCTTTACATCTTGGCACCTTGTAAAGTTTTTTTTTTTTTTTTATACAAAAGTTCAATAGTTTGACACTCCCCATTATTAATCACTACTTCACTGATAAACTTTGAAAGTGTGACCCTGGAATTCATCATGCAAAATATTTACTGCAGCAGGAGAAAAACATTTTTTTTTTTTTTTAACGACTTTTTTTTTTTTCCTTTCAAATATATGAACTTTGTTTAAGACAGCCAGAAAAGGCAGTGGTAAGATAACAGAAGGGGTGGGAAAGTATCAAAAAAACCAGCTTAAACACAAAAACTGTACAAAAATGCTTCGATCAATGATAACAGGAGAAAAAAAAAAATCTGTCAACTATGTTACAATTTAAAAGCTGAAAAAAAAAAGTCAGGGATTTTCTCCCACATGTCAGCAAATGTCATCCAATATTCTTAAAGCAAGGATAACTAAATAAAATACATGTGCAGCGTATTCTGCAATTCCATTACATACAGTAGTTTTTTTTTTTTCAAAGCTATTTTTTTTTAGTATAGTTAATATAAAGCAGTTGCACAAAAAGCAAAAGGTGTTTTGACAAACAGGTCTGCATTTATTCCTTTTGAGGAACGATATCTAAAAAAAGGACCTTTCCACCTTTTCCTCCCTCCCCACCCTCCCCCCAAAAGACAAAGGCTCACACAGACACAGTGGGATATATATGTACAACATAATAAACCCCTCCCTAAAGAAGCAACTGTATATCCAAAGGGATACAGAATCAGAATTGTAAAAATCATAGTGAAGTTTGCTTGATGTAAAGCCTGAGATTTTCAGTTGGTTCTTCTGCAAGGCTGCGACACCTGCCAGATATGTTAAAGTCTAATTTTTTATTTCTTTTTCTCTTTTTTTAATTTTTTTTATTTTTGCTACAGTCTTTAGACTAAGCATGCAAGACATACAACTAAGTGCAACTGAGTGAAATGTATTTTTTTTTTTATTTACTCATTCCCTAACAGTTTGGACTGAGGTATGCGTACTAACAGTTTCTCATGCTGTTATCTTTACTCATGTCTAGCTACACATGCTGAGGATGAACTAATCTACCAGATTTTTATCCCCCTTCTGAATACCGAACTAACCAGCAAACCACTCAGTTTTAGAAGCACGGGGCTCAATTCTCATGATGCCCATCTGGCTACCGCCGGCACGTCACGAAGCTGCCTGGATATAATTTTAAACGAAAAAAAAAAAAAAAAAAAAAAAAATTTTTAAAAAAACAAAAACCGCCCTTTTTTTTTTTTTTTTTTTTTTTTTTTTTGTCTTTTGAAACAGAAAGCAGAGTTGAGTTTTATAAAAGTAACTGCCAATAAAATTTCTTGTACCAAAGCTTATGAGTGGACAGGAGTGTTATTTCCTTATGAAAAATGCTGACCAAAAACTAAACAAAACTGAGCAAATGTGCCAAGATCAACCAAAATTAAAGCAGTCATCCCAGCACAGTCCCGAAACAGAAGTGGCACACAATCTGTAGAACCAAAGACCAAAAATTATTTTTTTTTTCTCTTTTAATTCTAGAAATACTATTATGTGGTCCAGTTAAATTGTGGGAGCTTTTCTGTTCTCTTCTGTATTTTATTAAACTGTCTCCTTTATCTGTTACTCTAATTTTCCACGAAATAACTGTGTCTTTGCCTTCTCCAGCTCCCTTCTCACAGCTCCACCAGTAACACTGATTCCTAGGTTTTAGCCTCAAAAAGCTCTCCTCCATTCCTCTTTACAGACTTTCATTTTGGTCACTGTAAAGAATTGCAAATAAAAAGTAACAACTTTGGTTCAGACATCTACTTGGCCTTCTAAATTTTCTAGAATAAAGGAGCAGTTTCCCTCTCAGGTTAGCAATAGCCCACATCTTGTCATTTCCCTCTAAATTCTTCAACCTCCTTTGATCAACAATAAGAGGATATTTGGCTTCATAAGATAAAGCATATAACAGAGAACATAATTTACCTTTGTGTAATATCTTTGGTAATTTTAGGAAAAAAAAAAAAAAAAGGTACAAAGAATATAAATTAAGCTCTGAAAGGCTTTTTGAAATAATAAAAAAAGCTACAGTCCTACATAAATAAATGAGTGACGGAAGAAAAGTGGTTGCAGAATGAAAATGCTTAGGTGTTTGGTGACCGAAGTTTACTGACCTAAATGGCAACAAATTTTGTATGTCGTGTTTGCTTTGAGGAGCCTTGCCAGTTTTGCCTAACAAGCCCCGGCGCCAATTCTCTCCTGGATCTCCCGTCTCCGACGGCGAGGTTTCCATACTGGCTGGTGTAACATCGCATAAACAATCCTAACTGCAGTACTGCATTTGCACAGCTGAAAATTAACACTTTTTAAGCATTAGTGGGGCTCCGTCCTTATTAACTCCCGTAACAAGTTCAGTCTGAAATCTAATTTGTATTCAAACAGATTAATGCCACCAAGCAATCCCGAACTGATGTTTAACCGTGAAACATCACCACGTACAATAACAATTTAATGAAGTCGTCTTTCCAACCACTATTTGCGAATGCAAATGCAAAAAGAAAAAAAAAAAATTAAAAATCGTAATAATAAACGTATAGGTGCCCATCTCGGTAATTTTAGATATCCCAGAAAGATTTGTTGACCCATTTAGAACTCGTGTTAAACAACCGAGAACTTGCCACTGTACTATTCATCCTCTAATAAAAGCGAACTCTGTTGGTGCTGCATATGTTTCTTTGTGCTGTTCAATTTTGTGGCATTTGCTAATATTCACCGTTGCTGCCAAGGAAAAAAAAAAAAAAAAAAAAAAAAAAAAGAGAAAAATCAAAAAAACCCAACCCCCCTCAAAAAAAATAAAATTAAAAATACTGCTTTGTGGAATGAATCTGTGTTGCTTCCTACAGTGTTTCTATGTTCATCTGTCATTCATTCTCATTCTTGCAGTACTTCGTTCCTCTCTCTCCGTTGGACAACCCTTCCACATGTATAGTGCAGCATTTGGGACCTTTTTAAAAAAAAAAAAAAAAAAAAAAAAAAAACAAACAAAAAAAAAGGAGACACCGAAATGGAATGTTTTCCATAGCTAAAGAAAACATGGTGGCATCTGAAGGAAACTGGAATGAATGACAGAAAAAACTACAAACGATTCAATGACATTCAGCTTCGTATAATAAAAACACCTATTAACATTCATCACAAAGTACAGAAAACGTTGAAGCCTCCGAGAGGCCCTGGGCCCAGATGAGGCCTGAGGTCAGAACTTAAAATGGTAGAGGAGAAGTGGGGCGGGGGAATAAAAGCAATACATTAAAAAGTTTGGGATAATTTTTTTCTTTTAACCCCTCCCCGATATACACGCTCACACGCACACACACGTATCCACACACGTGCACACACAGGCCTTCCCCATCCCAAATGGAAGCGAAAAAGAAAAAAAAAAAAAAAGAAACCAACCAAAATAACAGAAAAAAAAAAAAATGGAGTAAAGGCAGTGATAATCAACATGCAGTACTGTGCAAATATGTTGTCCATTGGAATCCTTAAAATCTGGGCAAAGACTTGATCTGCAGTTCAGGTGTACATGCTCAGTTTGATGTCCTCAAGTGTCCAAAATTGGCAGGACCTGCAGTCCACAGCTGGCTGCTAAATGCAAGTGAATCAGTTTAGCAAATTTACAACACTGATGTTGACTGTAAGAGAGGAAAATCCCAAGTACCAAACAAGTCCATCCAATGCACAGAGTACAAATTCCTTTTTTCAACAAAAAGTAGAAAAATCAAAAATACTCCCAAATGGGATACTTGATGGCACTAAGAGTTAACATATTTCATAGTTGTCAAAGTGGACTGAGAATCCTCCAGACTGTACAATAATGGAGAGATTTCACAGCTAAGTTTGACGTGTTCTTCCAATCTTCATTCTCAGGATAACGATGTCAAGACATACTCATTCTATGTCCTCATTTACAGGTTCATCTTCATAATCTCTGTCGTGATCGAAATCTGGACTGTGGTTGGCTGTTGTCACTAAGGATAGCGGGCCTTCATTTTCATCTGGATCTAACGGTTCTTCTTTGACATGCACGGGGTGCCTGGAAGAAGGAAAACACGGTCAATCAGCGAGTTACTCCTTCAAAAAAGTGGTTTGAGAAAGATGAGGTGGTCTGGGCCTTCAGACCCGGTGTGCCAGGCCTAGGAGCTCCAGGGCACCAAGGAGAAGACCCTCAACTTCTCCGCTGGCCACTGGAGCCAAGCGAAGGCTATGCCGGGCCGGCAGCGCTTGACTACAGGAGAAGAGGAAATGGGCACAAACTTGAATGTAAGAAGTTCAACCTAAACACGAGGAGGAACTTGGGGTGGCAGAGTCCTGGAGTAGGCTGCCCAGGACGGTGGTGGAGTCTCCTTTCTGGAGACGTTCAAAACCTGCCTGGATTATGTCCCTGTGCAATCTGCACTGGGTGGACCTGCTCTGGCAGGGGGCTGGACTAGATGATCTCCAGAGGTCCCTTCTAACCCCATCTGATTCTATGATTACAGAATCACAGAATCATCTAGGCTGGAAGAGACCCACAGGATCATCGAGTCCAACCATCTACCCTACTCAAAAGTTCTCCCCTACACCATATCCCCCAACACCACATCTAAACGGTTCTTAAACACAGCCAGGGATGGGGACTCAACCACCTCCCTGGGCAGCCTATTCCAATGCCCTACCACTCTCTCTGTGAAGAATTGTTTCCTAATGTCCAGTCTAAACCTACCCTGATGCAACTTGAACCCATTACCCCTTGTCCTGTCATCTGTAACTTGGGAGAAGAGACCGACCCCCGCCTCTCTACACCCTCCTTTCAGGCAGTTGTAAATTATGTGATATAGATTATGATTCTGTGAACTTCCCCGGGAAAACACCCTGGGAGGAGCACCTCGAGAGGGTTTCTGTCTCGGGATGGAGAGAAAACGCTCTCAGCTGACATATTAAGTTGATTAATACAATCTTTGGATAAATAAGCGGAATAAGCATCCGAACGGCAAAGCGGTGGTTCGTCAGCCGGCGGAGGCTGGGCTAATCATCGCTCGCTGCGTGTGCGGCGGCTCTCGTTAACATGCAGAACCTGTGAGACAACTCTCCAGAGGACGACCCCAAGTGAGGTTCTATCATTAATCAACTTCAAGCAAACACAGCAAAGAGACACCATGATACATGCTTTAAACTCCAAATTAATGCATATTTTTACAAACTGTCAATAAGGGAAGAAAAGCCCTGCCAGGAAACACAAACAGAGAGGAAAAGGCTCGCTCAACACAACAATATGATAAGAAAGCACAGTCCTAACGAGAATAATAACGCTGTCAGCTGTAAACAAGGCAGAACATGATCCCCAGCTCATGGTGGGCACAAGGATGTACTAAAGAGATGAGATCTGCCAAATTTCTCATTACAGCATAGCACATGAATAACCCGCAGGGGAACGGGGCTTGGTCATTCAAAACGGGTACGATAACAATTGAAAAATGTTGTTCGTAAATCATATTTACAACAAATCCTATACAAATACAAATTACCTTTTTTTTCTCTTTTTTTTTTTTTTTTTTTTTGTTTGGCAGCTTTTGAAATGTAAAATAGCCATGTGAGTCAATAGTGTCTTGTTGGTGGGACTTTATAGGGAAGTCAGATTTTATTGACATTACTGAGTATTAATAATGCGACACAGCAACGGAGACCCTGTTTGCTTCCTAAATAATTGATGTTGTAGGCAATCCCTTAAAATAAAGTGTTAATGAGTTCAAGTCCCACTCTGTCTCTCATTGAGTTGATACCCACCTCCTAGAGTCTTGTTTTTCCTCCATGCGGGCTGATTTAACCCTTTGTGGGTCGGCTACGTGAAAACACAACCCGAAGTGCAAACCTTTGTTTGTAAGAACTTTTTCTCTCTTTAAAACAGTTTTGCTTTAATACACATTAAGTTAAAATAGCTGCAGTTTGGTTTAGGTTTTGTGTGGATAGGAAGGATGATCCTGTTTGTATTCCCTTGCACTGATAGACAGCAAGAATAAATCACCGAAGAGGGAAAACGTACCCGGGATCCACGTACAAGCCAAAGGTAACTCTGCCTATTGCAAGCAGCCGGGGTGAAGCAGTTGTACCTTGCATGGTGTGCAAAGCTCTACCCCACCCTATTTATTTATTTTGGCTTCAGTCTGGATCAGTTTAGGAAGCCTCCAACTTGCTGACTCCTGACATTTTGAATAAGAGCTGCGAACGCCTTTCAAGTCCTGCATATTTCAACTTCTTGAGTTGTTAAGTGCTAGATCAATAGTTAAGTATTAACTGCACCTTCCAACCCATCCGACAAAGGAACGGTGGGGAGAAGTGATGCAGCATCCGTGCACACACACCTTTTCCCTTCAAATTCACTAACACGTGTCCTATCAACACATCCCTGGGAGCAAAGCGGTTCCTCTGCATGTCACGACATTATTGCAAAAATTACAAGGAGAGAGACATTGCTCATACAAATTTGACCCAATTATTGAAAAAGGTGGGGGTGAAAAAAGAAAAAAAAGACCAGGAGGAGATTATTCAAATATCAGCAATTAAGAATCAGCACAAGCATATTGCTGTCTCAGAGGTGAGCATGTGCTGACCGTCCTGGCGGCTCGTGGCTGCGAACGTGAAACCACGCTGATTATCTGCAACCAGAAAAACCTCTATTATGAATAGGCTGTGGGGCCCTCCACTCGGGAGAAAACATGAAATAGAAAACAGAAGAAAAAGGGGGAAAGAGCAGCTACACACAGAGAGTGATAAAGCATGTGCTACTCGGCCTCTACAGCAGTGATCTTTCTTACTGCTGTTTTAATTTAAAAGTCTTGCTTGTTGTTGGCTTTCTGGTTTTGGTGCTGCTGCTGGGCTTTTTTTTTTTTTTTTTTTTGGAAAAAAAGTGCAGTTTTTGAAAATGCAGATGAGAAGTTTTCAAGAGGGAGAGGAGAAGTCATGTCATGTGCAGCAGAGGTGGCCTCGGAATTTCTCCAAAGGATGCTCCAGGGCCACATCTCAGTGTCACGGAATCACAGAATGGTTTGGGTTGGAAGGAATCTTAAAGATCATCCAGTTCCAACCCCCCTGCCCTGGGCAGGGACACCTCCCACCAGACCAGGTTGCTCCAAGCCCCATCCAGCCTGGCCTTGAACCCCTCCAGGGATGGGGCAGCCACAGCTTCTCTGGGCAACCTGTCCCAGCATCTCACCACTCTCAAGAGTGAAAAATTTCCTCCTGAGATCTAATCTAAGTCTACCCTCTTCCAGTTTGAAGCCATTACCCCTCGCACCACCCTGTGCTTGGCCAGAGAGCTGAAGTGAACGGGTGCCAGCAGATAAGACAGGTACCTGCTGGGCTCACAACCACCCGAAATGCTGTGAAACCTTCTTCAAAGGTCCTCGAACCTTTCCAAAGCAAACCCTGCCCCGCTTCTGGTTTTATTATGAAAACAGGTGAAACCAGGCTGTTTTCACTGAGTTTCATTTCTGAGGTTTGGTGTGGTTCCCAGAAGTCAAAAGCACAAAAACTTCAGGAGCGAGAAGCAAAGCAAGCACCACGTTATGAAAGGAGCTGCTCGACCCCGAGCGAGACAAAGCCGGGGAGGGCCACAAAGCCACGGGGAGGCACAGCCACGCCAGCCTCCTCCTGCAGCTCACGTGCTGGACAAACATCAGACAGCCAGCTTGGCAAAAACTCCATCCCCCAAATTAGGAGGGTTATCTGGGTAATACCACCCCCCCGGGGAGAGATCTGCAAGGAAAGCAACAACAACAACAAAAAAAATCAACTCCTTGTGCACTCTCTCAGTCGTAACCACAAAGTGGCGTGTGAGGAGGAAACCTTGATTTTGCTCAAACATTTCACAGCAACTGAAATAAATAAGCTTAAATAAGCTCAAAGGCAAAGGGCGACTTTTATATCTCTCAAGTAAAGTCCAAAGCTCTATTTACTACCTCACCAAAACCCCAAGCTGGGGAAGGAAAACTTCCTTTAGAGACTCAAGAATGCAGTCTCCAAATTACAGAAAAGGTAAATGCTGGGCTAGGCAGAAAGAAAAAAAAAAGGGGGGGGGAACAGGGGGGAGAAAGGGTTTCCCACTTCTTTTTTGTGGTAGCAGAATTTCAGCCCATTCCTTTTAAGTAGACGCCTGAGCCCCCAGAAGGGGTTAACAATAAATAACCTTGCTGAACACAGATTCCCCTTCTTTTCACATCTGAGTAATTCTTTTGTTTGTCCACTCTGGGAACAGAGGAGTTTTTAATAAAGCTGACTGTTGTTTAAAGCCACCGAGTTCTGGTGGTGCACACAGCATGGAGTAGTTTGCTTTGTGGCTACCTTTGGAGCATATCAGGATGAAAGTGTTATGTCCCCAAGCTGTAATTATGCGACTACTTTCTAGTGTTTCAAAAGGAGGGAGAGAGAAGGGAAAAAAAAAAAAAAGCCTAGCCGTGGTTCAATGTGTCATAAAAAGGAAACGAATGAGCGGTAATAAGACTTCAGCTAAAGTGTTAGACTTCTTAGCTGTCATGTTAACAAGGTCCTTTAAACCTTACAATAAAGTTTAAAGCTTGATTTATTCTAATATAGTGAAATTGTTTAAAAAATAATTTGCATTATGACAAGGAAATCTGTTCTGAGAAAAAAATTGAAAATGTCATTAACAAAGCAGGCTTAGGGAAAAAAATAAGAGGTTGCAGAGCGTATGGAAATGCGCTGTTGACTCGTGATTTTATTTAGTAAACAGGGTAAACCTCGCGACATCTGAGTGCTGTTCTGTCTTCAGATCCCTTCAAACTACTTAGAAACACTGTTTTGATGGGGAAGCTCCCAGGCTGCTATTGGAACATCACCCAGCCACATTTTACTTAAGCAAAAAGAAATGTTCGGCAGAGAACACATATATTATCAATTCTGAGAAAATGAAAACACTCAGGAAACAATCATTTCCATATTACAACAGAAAATTGGATTTTCTGGTGAATAATGAAAATGAGGCATCCCTCCCCCCGTCCTCCTCTCTCTCCAGTATTTGTTCTGTGCCCCTCACCTTGGTATCAATGTGCTAAGAGATGATTATTAAGTGCAACAAAGGCCACGGCCATGCACAGTTCTGGAAGATGTCCTAGCCTGTTTCAACTGGGTTATTTTTCCCTCCTCGCAGTCTCTTCAAAGACAACGAAACCTTAGGTGAAATGAGAAGTGCACGAACTACGCTGGCCTTCGACTTGCAAAAAAATAATTACTTGTATTAACGCAGCATCATGAAACGCCCGTCCCTGTCTCTTAGGCCAGGAGAAAGAAACCCTTGGGAGAAAGTAGTCTGGTTTCTGGAGAAAAGCCACGTCCCTCCACTCACTCCTCCTTCACGCCGGCCCTACGTGGTCCCGGGCAGAGGATAACACATTGTGACTAAAACTGCCTCCAGATGAATCCGTCCGCGAGAGACGGGAAAGTGTGTCATGCACCGCTACTTTGGGAGAGATAATTAATACTGCACAAACAATCACGGGGAAAGCTAAACACGTTATTTGAATGTTTTGAAGTAAATGGTAAAAGACAATGTTTAAATTAATTATTAATTAAAAACGAATGTTGCCATCTTTAAAGATTTTTTTTTTTTCAAAGCACTTTGTGCACTGATTTAAAACGCTGCGATATCAAAGTACCCAGAGCCTCAGATTCCTTCGTGCCCCCCCTCCCCTCTGACAACACATTATGCAGGTGGGAAACTTTTTTTGCCATTAAATGCTAATTAGTTTCACAACTAATTACCATCGTGGTATTAGGTTAATGTTTTTTTTTCTACTTTCCGATTTAGACTTACTTTTGTAAATCCCTTATTCAAATTACTTTGAAGTAGGAGACTACAAATTAGTTCTCTTTTTAATGCGTAATGTGAGCCCTGGCGAGGCAGGCAGGGATTTCACAGCCCGTCTCCAGGCGGAGGCAGGAGAAAGGAGGCAGGAGAAAGGCTCTTGCACCCCGTCGCTCAGGCAGGTACCCACCCGCTCCACAGAGTTTTTAGAGAACTGCAAGACTTATAAAAACCCCGGCTTCCACACCAGCCGCCAATTACCCGGTATGTAATTTGAGGGGAGGGGGGGGAATTTATAGCTTCTCAAACTCACTCCGTCACCCCATAAATACCAAACACACCCATCGGGGCATCACACCCTTCCTGCCTTACCCTTTCCTGAGCCAGCTCCCTGCCCGGGTGCCACTCACGTTGAGCAGGGCTGGAGATCCCCCATTACTTCACGAAGTTATAGATGCACTCATTATACCGCCGTCTGTTGCTATAATGCTCCTATTAATTTTCCTTTTGATATTTTAAGAGCGATCTATAAATCACGCAGACCTTCACGTGTGCCGTCGTTAATGCTGAGCGAGACCGGTGCACGTCCAGCGGGGTTTTTTCAGACCCGCCAAACCAGCCCATTTCCCAGCTCTGCCCCACCAGCACGTTTGTCACGTGGACCAAAGGGGAGAGAAAGCAGGTATCTACTTCTCCAGGAAAGCAGTTGCCTATGAGGTTTTGCAAGGTTTAACAAAGAGAACTGCAAACAAGTTAACGATTTTCCAGCTCTGTGTGCCGGTCGGACTGGATTGATCTGATTTCATTTTATGTGGAAGTTGGTAAACGGCCCTTTTATGTCGTGACCCTCCCCAGAGGGAGACCTCTACTCTTGCCGCTCCATCCATGAGCCTCAAGAACCAACCACGAAGGCCTCCAGAGCCCCGCTTAGCAGATGGTAAGACAACATCTAGAGCTACAAACACAGCACTGCTGTACTTACATCGCTTGCATAGGGGAACGTCCTGGACTACTGTCACTCCCGTTACTGTTCGTATGCTCCATTGCACCATTGAGCTCTTCCCTCATCGCGTTGGCTAAATTGCCCAGAGTGGGATTTCCCATGGAAGCAGTAGTGTATAGAGGTATACTGTTCTCAGCCATTGAAGCCTGCCAGGGACACAAACACATATATGAAGAGCCATGACTAACGTTTTTATACATTGCACAACATGCCCACTTATTCCAAAACATTCCCCACATTTACATTATTTGCCGTTACCAGTTTTTTTTTTAAATATTACACTTTCTGATAGGTATTACCCTGATTCCACCAAGGGAAATTTAACATCATTTACATCTGGGTTTAAGCATTCATAGCTGCATTGGCTTGTGAGAGGATGGAGCTTTCCGTTCCCTATCTGGAATTACACCCCCTGGAAAAAATAAAACATCCTGTTCTTATTTTCATTTTGAAAAATTACGTTTGGAGCTTTGGGTTGGGTTTTTTTTGGTGGCTTAGGTTTGGGGTTTGTTTTTTATGAAACGGGGGAAAAAAAAATCAGAAGTGGCTCAGCTGATAACTCCTTCCCACCAGAGCAAAGTGGCACCGAGCGGGAGGGCAGGGCTACTGAGCTTGGTTTTTCTCCTGACAGAAGAGCAAAGCTGTGGTTAGAGAGCTGAACCAGTTCGTGTGATATTTTTTTAAGCCTCAGCAACTCAGCTCTTACCTATTACACATCTGTCCATTTTATTTCACTTTTTCCCTTGTTCTAAAGCAACGCCATGCAGAGGCACACTGGAGTTAACTTTCTAAATGGAAATCTTTGTAGGAAGAGAATGAACTGTTAAATATTTTCCTTCTGATTCCCACCGTTCTGCCTGCTGATATTTACTGTGTGTCAGCATTAGCTCATGGTGACGGCACGGTCCCGTGCCCGGCGCGGCAGCGGTGGGAGCGCAGAAGCCCGGAGCCCCGGAGGAGCCCGGCGTTTGGCAGGGATGGGATGCTCAGTTTTCCAAAGCTGAATTGCCCAGGGACTCAGAGGATGTTTAACCATTTCACCCACCCCAGCCGGATGGGGCTGACATCACCGGAGAGCCGCAGACGCTGGCTCGACCCGCTCCGGGGGGGAGGTCAGCCGGCTGCAGCGACCCAGCCAAAAAAATCCATCAGGCTCCAGGTCTGCCTGATGCAAACCCTGCCCCTGGGAGGGGAATTCATGCAAATGTCCTCCCCCCACACACACCAAACCTAATTCCTGGGACAAAACTCCTTGCCTGTTGCCATCCCAGCCGGCAGAGCTGCTCCCAGGCAAGGGACAGGGGGAGACGGGATGGGAAAGGGGGGGCACGGCCAGCCCTGACTGCAGCATCTTCAGGAGCACAGCCCCTTTTATTCTTCCTTACGTTGACCTCTCCGTGTGCAGCCCTATGTGTCGCACGTGATTACAAAAGCTATTCTAACGGGGAGGATTATTTTTATCTTCTCGATTCAACAACCGGCAAACTCATTGTGATTAGGGGATGCAAAGGACGGTTCACATTTCCTGCACTTGGCAAAATAATGACTCAAGTTCTTCACCCATCGTGATAACTTGTAATTGCAGTAAAGCAATTTACTAGGGGAGAGGTGGGACACGAGGACCATCTGCTATAAAGATAATAAAAAGGGAGGGGGGTGTTTTGGGAGCCCCCGACGACCCACTGGGAAAAGAGAGTGCTGGTGAGGGCTGGAGCCCCCGTCCCTTCCACACACAGAGAGGGGAAAGAGATGATGCTTTTCCCTGGCTGCAAGGGGAAACAGATGGAGGAGACGTCGAGGGGTCGGGGTGAAGGAGAGGGGTGGCTCTGCTACCCCACAGGAGAAGAAAAACCCATCCTGCCACCCTGGTGGCACACAACGCTCTGGAGAGGTGGCCACCGCCTCATGGGGATGTGCAAAGAGCCCATCTTTGCCAGGGGAACACTGGTTATTAATTATTAATTAGACTGAACGGAGGCACTGGCAGGTAAAGCGGCCTTGTGTCCTCGGAGGAAGGTTGTTGCCCAAGGCCTGAACTGCCCACGCAGCACCAGCTTCACCCAAACCCCCGTAGAGCACCCACGGGGACTCTGCCTCCAAAATCCAACAGGGGGGACGGTGAGGGGGTGGGAGAGGAGCGAGGGACCCACTGGTGTGTTTTCAACCTAAAAGAAGACCTGTCTCAGAGCAATGGATGTTGCTCACCCCCGATTATTACAGATATTGTCCACCCCTGTTAATTAGAGGGGACACAGCGGCAGCAAATCTGGCCCAGGCTCTTCTCTCCACCAGCTCAGCTCACCCGATGCTACGGGGGAGGGACAGGAGTACGTGCCACTTCCAGGAAAAGTGGGAAATGGAAACAGTTTGGAGGTTATCACAAAAGACAAGAATGGATGGAGATGACGACAACGACACGTGTTTCAGAAATAAAACACGAACAGTTCCGTATGATAAGCATATTAATTGAAATTAGTCACATAGTTAACAATGTGAAGAAATGCAGGATCATTTCACTTTTGCCTTTCAGCCTCATGAATGCAAAATGTGCCTGTAATCTTAATACTATTCAAGAGACAAAGCAGTCTTTAAAAATCACACTTCACAAGACTCAAGGGAAAATAAGTTACTAATGAATGGTATTTACAGTTGCTTCATTTAAACATGCTTTCCTTTGCTTTTCAGAAGTTACTGCATAAACTCAGATAATTAGAAGAAATGCACAACGTCGCTTTTCCCCTAATAATCTGTTTCTTGGTCCTGAAAAGAGAAGTCTGCTAAACCTTCCAAGAAATGTGGTTGCCCAAGGAAATACCCATGACCATCAGTGAGCTTCTCCAGAAGTGACCCTCAACCAACAACCGGGAAGGGAACCACGCAGGGTGTTGCCTCCTGGATTAATTCACACCATATGGAAGAGGCTTAAACCCCCCAAAAAGCACACACACCCCCGGAAAATTCAGAGCATGGTAATGGATTTGTAACTTTAGTTCAGTCTGCAAATACAGACTTTACCTGGGGTTTTTGAGATAGACTCAGGAATTTGTAGAGAGGGGAAAAAAAACCCACCAACCTGCTAATCCAGCGCAGGAAAAAGGGGCTGGAGACGCGCACACTTTTTGGCTGCAAGTTATTAATTGTGCATTTCTACATCGTGGAAAACCCAAAATTTTTTGTCTTACAATTTCAGTACAGTTTAAACCAATAAAAATGATCTTCTTTTTTTTTTTTTTTTTTTTTTTTTTTTTTTTTTTTTTTTTTTCTACAGGAATTGCCACGTTTATTTTTTAACCAACAATAGGAAGATATGCAAAAATAGCCCTTAAAAGAAAAGGGGGGAAAAATGATCTGCTTTCTCTTTAAACCCACGAACAATAGAAGGTCACGTGCCGCAGTATCCTATCATTCAGCACATTAATAGCTGTGCTAGAGTAATTACACTTGTGGTATTTTTGCCTCAAGTGAAATTCTGAAATAAGAGGATGGAAATTATGATACTGCTGATAAATATTAATAAGTGAACTTTTAATTTTTTTGCCACAATATTCAAAATGCTAAGCATCTAGCTAATGCTGAAGCAGCCTGATATGTGTTTGCCTCCAGGGACTATGATGCTTTATGCACTTAAGAAAAAAGTTTAACGGAATTAAAATTTAATATCTAATTAGAGCAAGGCTAATATATTTTGAAATGAGTGGGGAAGACACACGCCTCTGTTGCATATTTGCTACAGTCATTAATCTTACCTGTAAAGCAGCATTGAGAGGTGTGCAGTAGGTGTGGCTGGTCTGTATGTTTTTAATAAGAGAAGGGTTACTGCATAAGAAAAACATAAAAAGGAGAGTTAAATGCAACCAACTTCTGTGCGAGCGCTTCAAGCCTGTAATGCTTCCTCCCACACCAGAAAACTAGAGCTGAGACTGTTTTTCCACATAAGTTCTCTTTTGTTTTTCTCTTTCTTTTTTTTTTCTTTTTAATTTAAAGAAAATATCTGATTTTTTAAGCTATGGTTATCATATTTGCCTTTACTAAATAAGGAACATCATTATCTCTCGACGTTACCTCGCCATGTGTTCTACTACCCTGTGTTAGTAGCACATCTTGGCATCTCTGCTCATTTTAGCTGTGTTCAGGAGAAATTCTCCAATACTCGTCGTGTCTGGGAGCCAGCCACCATGTAAAGGTCCATCGTGAGGAGGCTATGATCAAAAGCATCACGGGACATTTTAAATACTACTTCATGCAAATTATTCTCCAAGCAGAGTCCCTGGCAGTGGAGCGGGGGACTGCCACGAGAGAGGATTTGAGCCACGTTATTCCCTGTTGGGCGGGTGGTCCCGGTGAGGGACTGTCCCTGCCACCATCACTGCCCCACAATCTGGGGCTGTGGGCATGGAGGCACCACCACAGGTATCAGAAATCATTCTAGTGTGCTATTTTGGACCCTTCAGTCACTGTAAAGTTTCCATAAGGGGCCAAGTTTGAGGAAATGGAATGCCAAGCATATCCACCCTCTCTTTAGTGGGCATCTAAATACCACCGGTTCCACCAGAAATAATCATTAATAATAAATAATTAAAAAAATCATCGGGCATCTAAATACCACCGGTTCCACCAGAAACAATAATTAATAATAAATAATTAAAAAATCATCAAACTAGATAAAAAGTGCCAATGCAAAAAATCTCCATGGAGTTTTATCACTCGCTGGGCATTATTTATTTTTTTTTGTTATTTTTTTTCATGTGGGAATACATCATGGTGAGAAGTGTCTTAACTGAGCCCCTCCCACTGGGACCAGCAAGGATCAGTTGTCCTGGAGAGATGGCCTTCGAGTAAAGGCCAAAGAAAATTCCTTTGGGAACCCCAGGAATATCTGTGCGTGGCTGTTGTAGATGCAGGATGGGCTGTTGGTTATGATCTTTACAGCTGGTCTCGCTGCACTTTCAAACTTTTACAAGTTAATTCAGCGTTTCTGACTCATAAGCACCTTACTGTATTTCTGATTAAGAATTGCAAAACAAGGCATACAACTGAAAGCGAAGGAAAATATCAGAATTAAAACTTATCTGAAGCCTTTCCTGGCATATATCTGTCTTCCTGACAGGTCTACAGCAGCATATCTGCGCTAGCGTGGATAATTATTTTAGTCTACATTGCACTATAAACAAATGCTATAACAAACATGTCAAAGCAGAGTTATTACTACAGGCATTTGGATTATCAGAGTAGGACGTACAAAATACACGTAACAAAAATTTAGTTTCTTTAGCAGCAAAGGTGATGTCACTATTTCGTGAAATGCAAGTCTACATGAGATGGGTAAATCATGCAAAGCAAAGCAACAGCAGAAAAAAAAAATTAAAGCAAGTAAAAGCTCTTACTGTGCAACAAGCTCGCCAAAGTTTTCATCAGGGCAGTATTTTCGAGGACGGCCTCGTTGAATATGACGGCCACGTTTAAACTCTTCATCATCAACAGTCCAAAAGGACCCAAACTCATCCTCTACTCTGATAAAGCACTTATGCAGTGAGAGGTTGGTGCGAATGGCACCCTGGGACAAGAGCAGCAGCAAAGGAGATGAAGTGGAAACAAAGGGACACGGGATCGGGGACAGAACAGACATCAAATACAGGGAAAAGGAAAAAGAAAATAAAATGCAATAAGCATAAGCAAATGGTTTGTGAGGGTTAATATGCATTGCCACCTAAAAGCTACTAGCATGTGATGCAACAAACACCAAGCAAGCAGGGTCAGGGTACTGGTGGGCATACAAACAGTAGTGATGAGATGTTGGTCTTGGTTTCCCTTGACTGAAACAATGCGAAACCACCTGTGGTTGGTCTAACACCAGCTAGCAGCCAAAAGCCTCTACGTTAAACTGTAAGCATGATCCAAGCTAGGCTAAGAAGTTCAAACATGGTGGACATACCCACTGATCTTTTGTGGCCTTCGTTTTTGGAACTCTAGTTCATCCACTGTCCATACTGCCCCTTTAACGTTTTCTACTCGCACAAAACACTTGTGAAGACTAAGATTATGACGCACTGCATTCTGCAGCAAGTATAAAAGAGAAAACATTCAAAAACTTTCTATGAGAAAATGCTCATCATCGTCCAAGAACAGCAGCACAGTCAGCTTGACAGTCCTCATTTTGCAACGTTAAGCCCCCTTCCCCTCCCCGCACCCACTTGCCTTCCCCGCCTCTTTACATCTTATTTTTGCAAAGACAAAATACATATAAAAGCTTAAACCCCCAGATTAGCAATTCAAGTTACTCTTATCAATTATCCCCAGCGTGAATGAGAACAGCCATCATATTTTTAAGCATGCATGTTGTAGAATACAGCACATTTCATACAAGAACACAAGAGGAACATTGCTTAAACATTTTCAAAACAAATAGATACGCTCTGCAAAGAGAAACTTGTCCTCTGCTGGAAAAGAAAGCGGTTAGAAAGAACAGAAAGGATTTCATCTGAGCACAGACGGCTCAGCTGAGCAGAGAGGCACCCGAGCTGGTGTTGCTGTGGTTTCCCACCTCCCGGGTTAATGTGAATCAGGTGCTCAACCTCCATCCACACCCAGGGCAGGGACCGGGGGGCTGGGGGGCTCGGCAGCACCCCACCGGCCAGCCCGGCACTGGCTCCTGCCTCCACGGCTTGTTCTTATATGGAAGTTGGCTCCTATTTCTGGCAGACTACCGTACTGACTGATCTGAGCCTCTGCCAAGTGAAAACATGAGGAGGGCTCTCCGAAACAAAGTGATAATATCCCCACAGCTCATCACCCAGAGGGACCCGTGCTCATGGCATCCCAACGCTCAGATGTCCTCTCAGCGCCGGGGAAGGATGAGCCCGGCCAACCCCTCTGATGTGCTCGGACCTTGGCTGAAGCCAGATGAGACCCTTCACTCTGTCACTTGGCTTTTCTGTCCCTGCTCCCTCTGAGCCAGAGCCTTGTTATTCCTCAAAGGGAGCACCTTCCCCATTTGAGGAGTTTTCTGAGCAAATACCCTACTACAAAGCCCACTCGGATGTGTACATGGAGCTTGTCCCCGGCTCTGCTGAACGGGGCTCGGTGAACAGGGAAACCAGAAGAAGCCATTTGCTGAAAATACGCAGGCGAACAAACTCCATCCATCATCACTGGCACCATTGATTCAGTCAATCTGGTTGACTCGTTAGCAGGCACAACGCCAGCCAAACACATGGCCTGGGTCTAGGCAACCAAGAGACTACAATTTTTTTTTTCCCCTTCCATCGTCATCGTCGTCTTCTTTTTTTTTTCTTTTCTTTTTTTAATGAACATCGGGTCTGGATGGTGAAAGGGAGCTCTAATCATGAATGTCTAAATCACTGTGCAAACAAAGGGTACGCACAGTGCATTTGTCATGTAAATGAAGAAGCAGTGGTGTTTGTGCCTGCGAGGGGAAGGCTAAAGACTCTTTTTGCTACTTTTTCTATTTTTCTACAAATCTCTCGCACCGTCCCCGCGCTCCCGGCCCCGGAACAGGGGAAGAGTCAGGGCTCAAACCGCCTTTGCTCAGCAGATGTTTGAGTGCAACCATGTCTCCTCTGGCTGAGGCGCCCCCGCCTTGGCACTTTTGGCTTTTCCACACTCATCCGCTCATGAACCGGTGGAAAAATAAACCTTGGACACACTTCTCCTCGCAGCAAGGCAGAAATCTAGCAGAAAGTCAACCTCTCCACCAGGGCGGCTTCTTTCTGCCCTTACTTTCTTCTTCTGGTCGGATTTCCTAATGATTTTTTATTATTTTTTTTTTCGTTCCCTCCCACCTCTCCCAGATTTCACTACTTTCGAAAATGTTGGCAAACCCCCCATTTTTGAGGTGGAGGAAAAACAACGCAAACGCCCCACACCTTATGGGGTAAAACCAGCCAGCTCAGCAAGTGCTGGTGGGTGCTGGAGTAGCCCAACCCCACACCGGGCTGCTGGCCCACATCTGGGTAACTCAGGCAGTTTCCTGTGAAAATGGGAACACTGTCAAGTCTGGAGCAAAACCTAAGAATAATAAGGCTATTTCCCCCCAGTGAAAGCTGATCTTGTAGCTCATGCAGCAGTTGATCAAACGCGCCCAGCCAAGTCCAGCGAAGTGGCTCCTCGGAGTTTGTAAACAGTCTCTACACACAGGGTTGAGCAGGAATAGTTGTATTCTTCTTTAAATAAATTTAGTACTGGGGAAATACTTCGCAGTGTTCTTGCTCTCCTGAAGTCAACGCGCAACTGATGGTTAAGGCTGGTGGATCATGCTCTTGCTCAATGCGTTGGGACAGACAAGTCGAGTATTTTCAAGACGTCCATGAGATGTTGCCCTCACTTTCTCTTTTCCACGTGATCACTCATTTATGGAATTCATGGCAGAAAAACAATAAATTGTTTTGTTTCCCCCGCCTCTGGATACTTGCTATCTCACACTTTTATTTGAACAATACCCCAACGTTTTGGAGCCACACCTGCAGCCTGTGCCTCATGGCTGCGACTCGGTGCCAGCAAATTACTCCCAAAAAAAGAAAAGCAAACAGACATCGCCTCTGACCTGTCAGAACCAGTTCACAGTGCTCCCCCAGCAATCAGCTTAACAGAAAAATTAGGAGCTATTATTGTAAGATTATATATTTACCTTGTTAAAAATATTTGTATGCAAGCCACTTTTGCAGAAAAATTACCCTGAACATGCTTGAATGTAGTAAATGAAAGGGTTTGTTATTTTAATAACTGCTCAGGCTCCGCTGTACTGCATTTTGGGAAAGAGGTTCATTTTTTAAAGGTCTTTATTCCTGCACTCTTCTGTGGTTTTGAAACAGAGCTCAGGGAAGCCTGCCCACACCAAACCCTGACCCTAAACTTGGGGAACGCTGACCCCGATGCCCCCTAAGCATCAGCTGAAGGTGAGACCAAATCAGCACGTATATATTCAAATTATTCTGATTCTGCAATTAGCCCCTCGTGCTTGTTCTGCGCCCCGTGGGCTTCCCGTCATGCCAATCCAGAGCTGCATTTTCATCCCTGCTGTTCCTGAAGGCTGGCATCAATCTGAGCGCTCTTCAGCAGGAAAACCTGCCTTACTTCAAGCCGTTGCCAATTTTGCAAGCGCTGGTGGAACCCGGGGGGAAGCTTCTCTTCCCGGGTAGGGGAAGCAGGACCTGGACACCTGCACGAGGTCAAGGTGTCCAGGAGGGGTCTCCAAATGGTCCCTGGGGCACATCTTGCCCTTCCGCAAGGCTGAGGGTCTGCAGCTCAGCCCCTCTCCTCCTCCTCCTCCTCTGCAGACACACGCTGAAAGTGCACGTGGCTTCTGGGGCTGGATTTTACCTGATGCACAAAGCTAATTCCTAAAAACTCGCCTCTCGGAGGAAATAGGGCCAGGTCTGCCTGCTGCCTTCTTCCACTCCCCCCTCCACCTCCCTCCCCTTTGCTGCTGGAATTAAATAGGATTTTTACTTTAGCACCCACACCTGCAGCTGCTGAAAAGTCCTACTGGAACCACTCCAGCAGCAAAAGACAGGCAGGTCTAAAAGGATCTTAAATCAGGGAAAGTTAATTTCCTTTCTGGATAGTGAGGAAGCTGCAAAGTGAAACACTGCTCATGTTTTCCAACTGCAGTGAAGAATCAAAGCAGCAATCACAGCGACTTTTCCTGAACCTAAGAGCTTCTAGACCAAGATTGAAAACGTACAGAATTGCACTGGGATCTGAATTAAGAGCAAAACATGCTACTAAAACCCAAACTAGCTTCCAAGAACCGTTTTTAGCTTCATCCTCTGAAGGATTTAATCCTAAACGCAGGCTGAGACAGGAAAAACAGAAAGAGCTGATGAAACAGCATGTATGGGACATACTCGTCCTACCTGGTCATTTCAAGTTGTTTGAGAGCAACAGATGAAGAGAGGCTCCAAGTACCAGGGGTGCAATTTTTACAGCGATACAAGATCCTATGATTCGACCCATTCATTTATAATTGCACTAGCTTCAGAAGCCAGGGTGACTCTTATCGTGCTATAGAAGGGAAATAGTGCCCCCCCCCCCCCCAAAATAGAAAATAAAATTAACTCTCCAGACCTCTTATCTAACAATATCTGAGATGGTTACGGTAGGAAATTAAAGCGCCAAATATCAGGTTAAACACATTCCTTATTGTGAGGCTCGCCTCTTGCATATTATGTTCATTAAGCTTCTGCTGTGTGATTAACAACAAAAAAAAAGAGGAAGTTTAAAAGAGATATGTGTATGTAGTTAAGAGTCAACTGCTTGAGGAAAGAAATCCACTGACCTACAGATCCTAGGGAAAAAAAAAGTGGTTGTTGTGATTACAGCCTGCATAACTAAAAAGACAAACAGCGTATCTTCTACTGACACAATAACTTTACCCCTTTTTTTATTTTTTTCCCCCCCTAATACGTTCCAGCTGAAGGGCTTGAGTTTCACTGCTAGCAGCAACCACCCAGAGGAACCCGTGGCACAATCACAGCACATCAAAGCCAATAATGGGGATTCAATTAGTGCTTTTCAAAGGCGGAAGAATTTTTTTTCTGCCAAATATGGAATTGTTCCTGCAGATAAGGCACCCGGCGTGTGTCACCACTGCCCATCCACATTTCCAGGTCCGTGTGTGTCAGTACGATCTGTTATGTAGGTGTGAGGGCTGGGGGTGCAGGCGGGCGGGGGCTTACCTTCCACGTGGCCGCGTTGCGTCGGAAGTAGGCGAACATTCGCGTGAACCAGTTGTAGATTTCGTTTAGTGTTAGCTGTTTTTCTGGAGACTCCAGGATGGCCTTGTGAAGCAAAGCGATTTGCCAGATCAGTTAGGAGCGCGCCCGGAGCAAAAAGACACTCTCAAGTTTTATTTTAGCAAATACAACACGGAAAGAAAAGGAAGGAAAGCAAGAAAGAAAGAAAGAAAGAAAGAAGAGATTTGGGGCAAAAAAATCCAAAGAAGGGTTTTCACAATATGAACTAAGATTAATGGCTGTATTTAACAGTTCAATGGCAAAATTCAAAATGGAATTATCTAATTGTTTTGAGTTTTTATTTCTGTTTCCTTACAGAAATATTAATTTATTAGTCATTCATAAAGCAGAATCAAAGAGAAATGCAAAACATTTCACTAGCTGATTAAAGCTCAGTAATTATTTAGAGCTCAGATTAATTCTAGGGATCAGAGATTACTGTAGCTTGTGATAATTGACTTGCCATCTTTAAACAGGCTCATTTTCACTGTTGTGTGAAATGAATTTCCTAATAATCACATCGTATTGTAATACTTAATCAAAAGCAATTATGTTATATATTGCAGTTCTAAAAACCCTTATAGTAAAGGTTTGAGCATTTGAGCACGCTTACATACCAAAGGTTTGAAAATCTATTTAATCCAGAGTGTGCACATATAGGGAGATTTTTATATTTTTTATTTATTTTTTTTTTTTTGTTCCTAATCCAAAGGCGTGTGTTTGGCTCAGCTTACCTGTCTAATTAAAGATGCGTACGTGAATGGTGGTCTAACTTCTGCGTTCTTATAAAATTCTTGGTTCTGGGCAATATCTGCTAAATAAGAGGAGTTGTTCTGTTATCATCACAGCCCGCCAACCACAGCGAGCAACCCAATCCCCCCCTCTTCCTCCCAAGACCCGAAGGGGCTGCGCCACCGGAACCCCCTTCTTTACCTGAAGAGATGGGGACGTTGTATTTATCCGAGTACCTCCTCCGGATGGGTCCGACGTTGTGCATGCTGGTGGTAGTGATGACCGAGGGTCCCTGCGTGACGGGAGTGATGGGGGCAGTGGGGGTGGTGGGGGTATGAGGTAAGCTCTGCGGAGACGCCTCGGACGCCGTCTTGGAAAGCGTGACGCTGGAGACCAGATTCAGCTGCGGATGGGGGAAAGGAGGAGGATTTCGTTACAAAACGGCATTTTTTCTGCCTCATGAAGGGCCGCAGAGAAAATTCTCCATCACGGGGGTCTCCCTCCACCCAGTTCCACGCAGCCCGAGCGCTGAAACATCCCTGTTAAGTGCTGCTCAACCATCCCCGTTAACAGCCAGCAAAGGGAAATAAATATATACATTTCCGAACAAAAAAAAAAAAAAAAGGAATAACCTACGTAGCCTGCTGCCAGAACTACAATCACGGATTTTTATCTAAATCTTAAAACAAGATCTCGCACAGCACATAATCATTTTAATATTTTATTTTAGTTCCATTGTTTCACAATCTAACCCCCGCACGTCTCTTATTTCCATGCTATCATTATGCATGGCTTCTAATCAATCTTCTTGGATATTTCATTGAAGGCATCGGGCTTAAAATAAAAGGCAAGACTTTCCTGGGGACGTACTAGGGAGAAACGCAATCTCTCTCTTCAGCATTTGGCCTTTTTTTTTTTTTCCTCCCCCCCTCCGTTCATCCATTTTAAAAGCAAAGCCCAGAGTAGGTTAACACTGGAATAATTTAATTAATCACACCGCATGAAATACGGCAAGCATTCAGCCCAGCAGAAGTGGCACCATTCTTTTTTTGTGTGTGTGTGTTCCCCTCCTAGGAGGGAAGGCATCGGCGTTACCTGCCCCGGATAAATGGCATTTTGCCATTTATTTGCCAGGCAATTTTTTTTTTGCCAGGCATTTGCCAGGCTCTAAACCACAACGGCCTCCGGGATTGTGTATCAAACCCAGCTCCAACCCAAGTGTTTTCGATCCACGACCCTATTTATACACCCAGCAGCCACATTCCTCCCCGACCCTTTCTTTTTTGCCCTACAACGCCCTTTGAAAGCCGATGCTCCCTCTCCATGGGTCACTCCTGCCGAAGTATTTTAAACAAACAACCCCATCTCCCAACTGCAGCATCAGAGAAGAGGACTGAGAAAAGGGCTCTCCCACTGCTTCCACGCTGCCTTCGCCAATAATATTCGTGAAATCCCGACCCCGTTGAAGTCAGTAGCAAAATTCCTACTGAATTTAACAGGGCCAGAATTTTACAACTTTTCTTGGCGATTAAAATTCCCTTTTTTGCTGGACATTAAGCCTTTTCAGATGAAGGCAAGGCGCACTACTCAGCTCTGCCCCCAAACATCTCATGTTTATCCATCAGGCACTGTATTAATTTTCCTCGTATGAAAGTAACTAGATAAGAAAACTCCTATTAGCATCCCTCACATGAGTTAATAGCCACAAATAACGTTTCTTTATAAAAATAATGGGATTTATCCAAAACAAAGGTAGCGGAAAAGAAAGGGATATAATACTACAGAAGGAATACCAACACAAAAAAAAAAGCCCATCGCCCCCAGAAAGGGCGCAGCTGAGCGACAGATAAATTGTGATTGCTTTGCCCTCCCGATGGTGAGATGGAGCAAGCCCAGGGAAGCCCCACCACAAATCCCACTCCGGCATCACTCCAAGGAAAGGAGGTGACAGACCTGCCAACCCCCCCATCTCTCCGTGCAGGTGCTCACACAAACCACGCTTCACCTTCCAGAGGGAAATCATTTTTAACACTTTGCGGCCGAGGCTGGAGAGGGGGAACCCAGCGAGGGAGGGTGGGAAGGAGGGGGGGGCTATAGATGAAATATGGGTATTGATTTCCCCGAGCCTCCCGCTCCGGCACGAACTGCTAAATGCAAGCTGGAGGTGAGGACGTCGGTTCACAGCCCCGCGGCGCCGGGCACGGCCACCACGTGCCACCAAGAGCCTGCTCCCCTTGTTGACTGGCGTGATTTAAGGACACTGATTAGGGACACGTCTATAGTAATGTCTCCCTGTTATCCATCTATCCATCTATTACATATGATAAAAGGACCGGTGACGATAATAATAGTACAACTGACAGGTCTCCCCATGAAATTAAATCTACTGTATTTTATCTCAGTTTCTAAATGGACGTTTTAACAGTCCAATAACTGCGAGCAAATCTGCATCAATTTTAAGTGCCCGTCTCCGGCGCGGGCTCGGCAGCCGGGCCCTCCCGTCGGAGAGATCACTGCTCCCGCTCCATCATTACGGCTCCAACTACTTCCATTTCAAAAGAGCCCCCCTTCCTCTTCCAGCCTGTAAAAACTTAACATTTAATCTCTTTCTACTAGGGAACTGCGAGGACGGATCCACAAAGGTCGGCGTTCCCTGCTTCAAGAATTTGAATCGAGAGAAATTTCTTTAGGCTTTTCGGCGTAGGTAGGGACTAGGAATAAACACAGAAGAGGACGAGCAAAAGGGGGGGCTTTAACAGGCTTGACAAATGACACTGTGATTCACACCCACTGCTGGGCTGCCACTAATAAGCTACAGAGGAAGCAGCCAATCTCAGCTAATTACCAGATAAAATTGTATTGTAAGGACTCTAATTAGGAGATGCTTATGGAGGTGATCTAATGATTAAACGCTGCATCCGAGTGACCCCACCATCAATGTGCAGTGGTGCAAGATGTCACCGGAATATTTTGTAGAAACAGTAATTTTATTTCAAGGAGGGGAGGCAGTAATATTTGTAATAATGGCTATGAGGTAAACTAATTAAAAGACAGTTCCTAAAGGAAGACTGTGGCTTTGAGCAGCTGTGGCCGTTCCAAAACAAAGTGCCAAATCTCAACAGAGGAGCTGCAGTCAAGTGGAAAATTTCTGCCTGACCTCTGCTCTCGCTATTAATTTGCAGGAAAACTAATGACACATATACATATTCCCACAAAATTGTTCTAATTGCTAATTTGCCAAAGGAGCCCAGTTTCCAAATTAAACATGACTGCAGTCTGTGAGGAAAGAGAGAACAAAAAGCTGGAACGCAGCGAGTGTGCTACGTTTCACCTCCGACGACCATTTGCGAGCCTGAACCAACAAGTTAATGAAACACGACCTTGTCGATCGCTGGCGAAGTTTTTTTTTCCTTTTTCCGTGTTTTATTTGATGACACTCTCCTCTTCCAGCCGGGCTCCCATCCCTGCCAGTGCTGGGGAAAGGGAGGAGAGGGCTGCGCTCCCTCCGCAGCCCCTCGCTGCTGCTTTCTTTGTTGCATCTATAGCACGAGGGCTGAGAAATCGGTTGTGAATTAGAGCAGAATAACAAATTATGAATGGTGTTGGTTTTGTTGCCATCTTGAATTATTAATCCGAAGGGTAAACTATTAAATCTTAATATTGGCATCAATTAGAAACGTGGAAGCGGCCGTGGATGATTGTGCAGGGCAAAGATCAGGGAGGGACCGGGCTGGGAGGGTTTCTTTTCCTGATGGAAACTCGAGGCGGTTTCTCCCTGTTTGCATTTTCTATTTAAAAACAAGTTGCTATGATTAGAAAAAGTCGTTCGCCTTGGTATTTTGCAAACAGCCCGTTTCCCACATACCGTAATTTTGGGCCGAGGTAGGGCTGCTGTCAGAGGGGAGGGAGCCTGAGGTAGCACTGTGATGGGCAGGAGCTCTCATGCTGCACTAAGGGACAACGTGGGGCACCCTCCAAGCACGCCGGGGAGTACGGCCCTCACACCAAAGAGTTAAATGGTTTTGTCATGTTTGTGCTGGTGATGGGGGTAGGGAAGACTTCCTCCAGCCTTAAAAAAAAACAAAACCAAAAAAACCCTAAAAAACCCCCAAGCCCCCAAAAACAAGAAGGGGGAAAGAAAAAAAAAACACAACAGAAAACCCACCAACAGCCCCAAGTTTGAATTTGCAGAGTTTTAGGACCTCAATCACTGAACCTTGTTGGGCGCTTTGTGCAGTTTTGTTTTTTTGAGAACATTTCCTCATACTGTTTTAACTTAATCATAAAGGCCATAATTGTTTCAGCGTTCAATATCCTGCTTAGGATTTTATTATTAACCTTCCCTTTCAAGAAATAGCCATGTCTTCCTATTAAAGGTGAAGACTGAGTCATTTTCTCTTTTTTCTTTAGACATAAACAAGGCAGAGAGGTAACCCTCTCCTTCACCCCGTAAAATAGATTTCCAGTAAGTGGCTCTCCCATTAGGGCTCAGACTGATTTCTTTCTGTGTAAACATTTTACGTGACAACAGTGGCTGCACATTAAAAAAAAGCCTCTGAAACTCTTTTAAAAGAAACAAAAAATAATAATAATGTATATTTCTAAGCATCATAATGTATATTTCTAAGCAGGGCAGTGACTCCTCGGCCACGGATGCTGCCGCTCCGGTCCTGGCTGGGGCTGAGGATTTCTCTGGGATTGAAACACTCTGGAGCACAGACTCCTTTTTTTAAGTCCGAGGGTGGGAGAGAAAGCTGGTCCTAAAACTTCGTTAAATGCTGTGTCTTCCTCTCCCATTTCAGCCTGGACACATTAGTGGATGAGATGCAGAGCCTGGCAGGCAGCAATCACTTAGCAGGTGTTGTTATTGGCAGGAACACTAAGGAAACCGAAGCTGAGGAGTGAGACTTAATGAAAACCAGTATATAAAAACAGCTTTTGTTGTGCTTGAGAATCTCTCTTTATTGCTGCGTATCGTTATTTTTTCAAACTATAAAGTACGGCTACAGCAGCTAAAATGCTCAGTCATTACCTCAACAGTTAAAAGACTATTTTTTTTTTTAATGCTTTGTTATTACAGTTGCTAAAAACAGTATTTCAAAACAATCGTAACTGCTATGGTTAGGGTAAAAAAATACATTAAAGAAGGGCTATCTAAGAGTGCATTTTATTTAAAGTGCCAAAAGTTTCTTTAAAAGTTTTCTGTCTATTTTTAAAAGACAGTTATAGCGCCTAGTATGCAGAATTACTTGTTGGTTGATGCTTTTTCCTTTTCCTTCCCTTCCTATGAACTTCGACATAAGTTAATCCCCCTAAAGAAAGCACATTTCCATTTCAACCTATTATGCTGATCACTAACACCAATGAAAATAGCACGTAAGGGAAGGTATCTTAATAGCAAATCCAGAAAGAAAATTCTTGAGAAATCGCTGTTCTGGCTTGGGTGTTGTGTTTTGTTGGGCTTTTATTTTAACTTTGAGAAAAAAAAAATTCACCTAATAAAAATATGTCACAGCGTATTTCTTCACGGACAGCTTTGTTCTCACTTTAGCCAGATCCTTTAGTCTCACCAAAACAACACATGTAGCAGCAACAAGAACAACTTTGCCTGCTCCCAGTGTTGGGAGATAGGTCCATTTTCTTCTAAAGTGCTGCACCCTTGGGAATTTTAATGAAGTTGAGCATTTTTGAAGGTGGCACTGAACACTGCCCCGGCACCTGATGTGCTCTCTTTCCCCAGTCCTCTCCTGTCTGCCCAGCAGCCCCCCAGGAGCAGGGGAAGAGCTGCCCTTTGAGTACACCAGGCACCAACAGCCACCTCCCCACCTACGTACCTCTCTGCCAAGGATTTCACCATCCACCACTATGCTACGTAAGGATGTGCTTAAATCCCATCAGCTTTACTAGGACTAAAGAGCTTCACTGACCAGATGTCTTGGTGGACGGGTGCAGTGAAATGCACGGGACACTCCACCACCCTTCCCCAAGGTCAAAATTACCACAAGGCACCAAAGCCACCCGAAGGTGGAGATGTGATGGATGGAGATGGCTAGACTGGACAAGCAACCCTTCTCTGAAGCTGGGTGAGTTCTGAACTGATGCACAACCACCAAGAACCTGGCTGTGGTCCAACTGGTCCAAACTGGTCCCAAACCACCTGCTCAGCTACTAACTCAAAAGGCAAAGGCAGCCCCAACGGTCAGTGTGGATTACAAATGGCACATGGTTAACACAGACCCTCAGTCACCAATTTTACCTGCCGGTATCAAAATAAGTCTAAAAACAAGCATTAAGATCCTTTAAGCAGAATAAAAACATTTCCTCGGTCATGAAAAAGCTGTAATTTTAAATCCCAATTCACTGCTATATTTGGATTCGCAGCCGCTCTTTCCTTTAAAATCACCGATGTACCGTAATATATTAATTCTAACATACACCTTGCATTAGTTATGTTGGAAAAAAAAAAAAAATTAATTACTGGATGTAAAGAATACTTTGCACTGCAATAATGGTCATCAGATCTTTTTACCAAAGTCCTATCCCACTGAGTTAAAAGGACTAGGGTCTAGCACAGTCTATGCAATGCCTGTGTATTTTTTTCACTAGGAAAGCACAATTTATGCAAAACACTATACTTCTACATTTTATAATTAATTTTCAAATGCTTCACCTATACATATTTTAATAATTTCTGATTTATCAGATGGTATCTATAATAAATTTTTCTATATTTCAATAAATGAAAAGAAGGCAGTTTCAATCCAACAACAGAGTGCCACACAATATAGGCCTGTCAGGCACCAATTTTTACTTCTAACATGTAAGTTAAAGGATAAGGAATTTATAATGCTGCCTGTGAACGAAACCACTTTTCATACACAAATGTGATCTTTTTTTTTCCAAAGGGTAATACAACAGTACATTTACATAAACTAATCCAAACAATCTATGTATTTGACAATGGCAAACCTCACACAGACTGCCTATTGTTGGTTTACATCTTGGAGTTCTTTATGTTGGCTTGTAACACTGCTCTAGCTGTCAAAGGTTTGACTTGGACTCTAAATAAATGGTTATAGAAGTGCTGTGCAGCGATATTGGACTTCTTTGCAAAAGAAAACCTGCTGTGTATGAATTCAAAAGCTATTAATTTTTCAGTCAAAAATATTCATGCCTATTTCTTTTAATAAAGAAACACTGTGCTGAGCAACTGAGAGATAATGTTGACTAGTGGTACAGAATTTTCAATAGAGCAGTTAAAAATAAATTTAGTAGGAGGTCCCCAACAAAGCTATAATTTTCCAGAATGTAAAACATTTTTAATACTAATCAAGACAGCCCTTGTCCCCCTGCGTTCACTTTTTTTTTTTTTTTTAATTTTTTTTTTTTTTTTTTTTTTTTCCCCGCTGCTTTTCCCTGTTTATTAGCTGTTAACACTAATCTTCATGGCGACACCGCCTGGTATCTCCTCAGCCTACAACACCCGTGAAAGCTTCCTGCCCTCCGCGGCTGAGCATCGATCACGAGCTGCCTTGCCAAACGCCGCTCGCCTTCTCATGATTTCCTCCCTTTAGTTTTTAATCCTTCCTCCTGAGGGGCACCGCTGTTATGAAAGGCCTCAAGGCAGAGTGCTTTGAGACTCCCAGATTATTCCGCTGTTTTAATTTTTAATCCAGTAAGAGCTATAGAAACCAAACCTCCTCCCCATTCTGTTGGGTCTACATACTTTGCCAACAATGCGCTGAAGCATTTGCATTCAGGCTGAGATGGATGTGAGGAACTAGAAGAAAGCTATTTTTATAGACACTGTAAGCAGTTGCTACTCTAGAGGGCTGGTATCCACTGGATCAAGCAATTTTCGGCATCTCAACAGCTTAAATGGAAGGGTTTATACCTACCACTCAACTCTCTCCAAGAAGGCACCGAAATTTCCCGTTGACTTTGACATCTGCTCCGGTGTTGCTGAATAGCCTGCAATTTTCTGTCTAGTAGCCTCCCTATGCACTTCTGCAGCCATTTATTTCCAACTGCATGGAAACTGAGAAATCCTTTTCTAGTAAAAATGGGTGCGCGAAGTGTTTAATGATTTTATGTTCTCTATCTCTGTAATGTGTTCTGTTTCAGACATTAATTTTGTCTACCAACTGCATCTTGGCAGGCTACCATATTTGCTGGGTTAATAGTCTGACTCCTTTTTATTTCTATCACCATAAATCACACATATATGGGCGTGTGTTTGCTTTATTTATAGAAAAAAAATCAGTCAAAACAGATAAACCAATACTTTGTCATTATGCTGCATCATTGCATATTGATTAAAATTGCTAGTACTAACTATAGATTGTAAACGCTCAATTAATTTTCACACAATGACTCAAAGCAAAATCAAATAAAGCCAGTGTACCTTTAAATCTTACAAATCTTAAAATCAAGAAGCAAAGCACTCTCTCCATTTTGAATAATCATTGGAAGCTCCAAGGAACATTTTCAGCGTTAAGAGGTTGGGAGAAAACAACAGCTGAAGAAGAGTCATTTTGGTCAGAGAACCAGGCGGTGGATTTGCCTGGGTTTGGGGGCACCCAGGAGTTGCCTCAGGCTACAAAAGCCACTTCCTCCCCCCACACCCTCTTTTTTAAAGGGCAATCTGGGCCAGAGAAGGTTTCCCTTCTCAGTTTCAACAGCGTAAAACCTGATACTGGGTAACCGCGATTATCATCAAAACGTGCAGCTAGAGTCTCTTCTACCCTAAGTGTCTGTCACACAGGGAGAAAGAAAAATAAACATACTAAATATAATTTAATTACATCTCCTTCCTAACACCTCCTAAGGTTTCATGCAAGTTGGATTGATGCAAAGCGACGTACGGGCTCGTACGTGAGGCCAGAAAAGGGCCCAACGCATCAGGTTTAGAGCAAAACTCTTGCAAACTCCCTCAAGAGAGAGAGGGGGGGAAGGATGAAACCTGGGGGCCCGTGGGGGTGCCTCCTGCAAAGCGGCGCTTTGCATCTTCTCACTGCTCCGGAGCGAGCCACGCTCCGGTGGGGAACAGGAAAAAGAGGTTTTATCGTGAGGTTTCGCTCGCTTTGGGCACAGTTGGGTACTTACGGGCTGAGGGGTGGCTTTTGGTTCAGTCGACTTCACGTGCAGGTGTGTCATCATGGCTTGCAGGCGCTCCTTATCTTTTGCAAGCTGAAAGGGGGAGGGAAAAAAAAAAAAAAAAAAAAAAAAAAAAAGCATTAAATTTCTGCTTTTGTAAAGCGTTCGGCCGAGCATTTAAATATGGACTTAT